AGATCGCAGATGCACTCAGTACAGAGGTAAGATAATGCTGGCATGTTTAAGAATTTATTCTGCTCATTAATGTGGATCAGAGGTAAAATACTGAACAACTTCTGAGAAGAGAACAGATATCAAGATCATGTTAGAATGGCTACCACAGCAGAAAGACCTGTGTAAAATGTTTCATTCATTCATCCAACACTATAATTTAAAGATGCTAATATCACATTTAAAATAACATTTATTGTGTGTGTGTGTGTGTGTGTGTGTGTGTGTAGGCTATATATTTTTTCACGCATTCTAACAAATGTTCAATAACAACAGAAAAAATTAAAGTATGACAAATATGTAATCTTTTAAACGACATCAAGGACACTAAATTATTAACTTTGTAAATCATCATAGCTATAAACTAAATCCTCTATCCCTCTTTATTTCTAACCACAGGAAATTCCATTCAAAAGCAAGAAGTCACTTCTCCTAAGTGGACAAAAGTTCTTCTGATTATCCTCAGCATCTCTCTTGTTTTTGCTCTTGGGGGTCTCTGTGTTCTGGGGATCATGTGTAAGTATAAATACACACACACATAATACGTAGGGATGCACCAATGTGTAAGCCAATAATCTTTATTGGTCAGTAAGTAAGGGATAATCCATGGTTGGGTGTGCATTAAATGATTTTACAGTAATTCATGACGTGGAGGTAAAGAACTGCCCGATATGTGGTATCCCACTTATACCATGGTCATCTGCCAGCAATGACAAGTTAAAGCTGTCATTGATTGAACATATGTGTTTCAATAAATCTGACATAAAGACAGGTTTTATTGGTGCATAGCATGCCCCTGATGGAACCTCAGTAACAATACCCGCTATGTTAAAGCTGGGGCCTGGGTAAGTATTTGTTTCACTGTTATGATTAATTTCAACAGTCAAATATAATATTTCTCTTCCTTCCAGCAGCAATAAAGACAATAGAATCCAATACTGGTCGTATGAGGTTTTGTTTATATATTTAAATAACCCAATGAAGTTAGTAAAGCAATGTGAACAAATAATAAAAATGTGTAAACAACTTTTTCAATGTCAAATCAAATCCTTTAAAAGAAGTGACAATATGAAATAAACCAAACTTCTATTTTCACAAGTGTTAAACACACGTTAGGGAATTAAATAGGAAAATGTAAAAATTTACAACTCAATAACAAAATCTTACACTTTTGGATTTAACCCAAAAGTGTTAAACACACGTTAGGGAATTAAATAGGAAAATGTAAAAATTTACAACTCAATAACAAAATCTTACAATTTTGGATTTAACCCAATGAAATACTCTCTATATTCAGTAACAAAACAGTGGGCCCACTTTCCCGCTATCACTCACACACCCACCCTACGTTGCAGGCCTGAGGGTTTTTCCCAGAACGCGACGGGTCCCGCGGTATGATGAAACGTCGTGGCTTTGGCTCGCGCGAGCGGCTAGCGGCTCTCCCACGCAGCAACAGAGGAACTCCGGGCTTTTCCGGTCACCCTGAGTGCTATCTGTTTCACCTTCTCTGCGTTGAATGTCGATCCGGTTCGTGCTAGTCGCCACACATGCACATGGAATGAACGTGCAAAGTGTAATCCGCACTAAATATAACAAATACTTGCTAAATAAAGTTCTTATTAGCAAAATACAAATCACTGAGGACGGATTCACTCTAGATATACGGGATTATCGTGTAGAATATCCTTTTCTTTCGGACTAACGTAATACGCAATCTCCCTCCTCTCCTCTCTCTCCGCTCTCCTTCCTCCTTTTCCGCCACGCCCCCCTCGTCCTCCACCTCGTGATGCGTACATTAAATAAAATTATATACAAATATATAACTATATACATACACATGAAAACACTGAAATGAAACTGAATAAACAAATAATAAAAATAAAACACACACATTATAATGTAAATAAACAGATTAGTATCAAACCATAATTTAGCATCTTTTTATTCTCACTGGGCTACACCGATATACGGGTATAAATAGGCCATCATTGCATTTGCTCACTCTTCTTCATAGAAGATGCTATGTCTCTCTGAGAAGTTGCACTTCATTCACCTTTCGTACTCCTTGTCGTTGGATCTATGGCTCAAGCAGCAGTCTCTCCCTCCTTCATACACAGATATGGGTGCTTCATCGGCAGTCTTTGAAAGCAAATTCCCTTGTAGATGGTTCATGTCCTTCGTGTGAGGACATATCCATAGGCATGCTGCGTTCGTTGCTCACATTCTTTTCTGCTTCCCATTCAGGTCCTTCTACTTCCAGGTATGAGGCCTCGGTGATGTGCGTTGAGGGAGAGCAAGGAGGTGTCATGAGGGTAGTTTTGCCGGGTGAATCTTTGCAAACCTCTTGTTCCTCCCAAAGCAAATGTCTTCCGGTAGAGTTACCATGCTCTGCCCCAGACTCTTTCTTTCCCAAGTGTAAGTGCATTGGAAAATGGTCAAACGGTCGATAAAAGAGCGATGTCTTTTCCCCCTGGGTCATACACAAACACACTGTCATGAACCATGCTAGACTTGCACTCTGTTTTGATGCTGTTTTACTGAACACTTCCGTATACGTACATACGCATATGTAATAACCAATAAGAAAGCTTGTTACAAACCCATATACTATTTATCACATCTTCCCCCTTGTTGGCGAAGTATGTTACTTTTTAACAAACAAAATTAGATCAAAAGTTCAATTACACTGCTGATAACATCACAAACATAAAACATTATGCAAAATGAATCTTTCCACAAATAAATTCTCTGTAATGCATTAATTAGACAACAAGAAAAGGGAAAATAAAAGTGTTTTGAATCTGTATTATGACTGGTAGCGCAATGGCTTTCTTATCACTCGCCCATACCGTGTGGTCTTAGGTGACACTACATGTTGTGGAGTATGAGGCACAACTGCCGTAGGTTCTAAGGAAGGAACAGACGTTCCTTGATTCGCCTCAGGTGATTGCTCACTTGGAACCCCAGGTAGGTGACTTTCCTCAACATCTGTTGTGAGGCCAGGTAGATCTTGTTCATGTTGAATAGCAGTATCACCTGGAATGGCTTGGAGATGTTTACGATTCCTGCGAAATTCTCCGTGGTCAGTTGACACATAGTATTACGATCCCTTTCGTCAACGGGAACAGAAGGCCACTGGAAGCATCTTCCCATCATGCTCTTGAAGCAATGCCCCCCCTATTCCGTAACTGCTGGCATCGGCCGTGACGACTGTTGGCTTGTTCACGTCGTAATATGCCAGCATTGGTGCCGCAACTAACATTTCTTTCACTTTTGTGAACGCCTCCTCTTGACTCTCGTACCACCTCCACACTGTGTCAGCTCTCAGTAGCTCATTCAACGGCTGTAACACTGTAGCGCTGTGTGGCAGGTAACGGCAAAGGTAATTAATCATACCCAGCATCCGTTTTAACTCAGTCAGATTTTGGGGTTTGCTGAGGTCCCGGATAGCACGGACCTTTTCTGGGTCGGGTCTAATGCCCTCTTGACTGAGACAATGTCCCACAAAACCCAATTCCTTCTGACCAAAAATGCATTTTTCCTTCTTCAGCTTCAGCCCTGAGGCATGGATAGCATTCAGCACTTCATCAAGTCTATGGTCATGTTCTTCACGAGTATGACCATATCTGCCAGAAACCGCTGGCAGCATCGAGGCTAGAAAAGACTGTCGCCCCTGCCAGTTTAGAAGTGATGTCATCCAAGGTTGGCAAAACATACTTTTCACGAATGACGACTTCATTTAGTCGTTTGAGGTCGACACATATTCTAATGTCTCCATTCTTTTTGGCGACCAGCACCATTGGGGCATAAAACCCAAACCCCACATTACACCTGCACATCGCCGTCCTCCAGTGATAATTTGGTGGCTGTTCTGTAACGCATGAATCTCTGTTTCCACTCCAGCCATTCGCTCGGCCTTTCAAACGGGAAACTTTCTGGAGGCGAAAATTTGAGCATATTCTCGACTGTGCAGCTCTTTACTTATAGGGGCAAAATAGCAACAGTCTGTCAGAGTCCACTGAGCTAAGATCCCTCTTCTGACACCATGTCATAAACCACGCTAGACTTGCACTCTGTTTAGATGTTGTTTACTGAACACTTCAAAAGACATGGACATGAACATGAAACAAAAACAAAACCCAAACCCCACATTACACCTGCACATCGCCGTCCTCCAGTGATAATTTGGTGGCTGTTCTGTAACGCATGAATCTCTGTTTCCACTCCGGCCATTCGCTCGGCCTTTCAAACGGGAAACTTTCTGGTGGCGAAAATTTGAGCATATTCTCGACTGTGCAGCTCTTTACTAATAGGGGCCAAATAGCAACAGTCTGTCAGAGTCCACTGAGCTAAGATCCCTCTTCTGACACCATGTCATGAACCACGCTAGACTTGCACTCTGTTTTGATGCTGTTTTACTGAACACTTCCGTATACGTACATACGCATACGTAATAACCAATAAGAAAGCTTGTTACAAACCCATATACTATTTATCACACACACAGCATCCATGGCCCTTGCTATCATGACAGCCAGACACTGAATTTAAGCATCAAAGCCTGTTTGGACGCAGTTGCAACTTGTTATAGTGTTTTTTATTCAATGATTTCGTTAACAGCATTCATTTTGAATCAGGTAATGATTTAATCAGTGGTAAAATTCATTATTAATTTAAAATATATACATAACAGTTTACATGGAAACGGTAATGCGAGTAAAACGCCATATTTGCGTGATCTTTGAGCATCTGAAATAGATGTCGCTCAATTGGGACATTAAAAATATACACATCATTACTAAGTACTTTGAAGCACGGCCTCGAGTACCTTATTGCTAAAATATTAAAACCAAAAATGTATGTATTGAAATGTTACTTTTTGAAGCAAGTTCGTTAAATGCTGTCCTTCCGCTAAAAAGAATTTTCCTGACAGCAACAGTAAAGGGCAAAAGAACATTCCGAACATGCCTCATCTAATGGAGCTTAAAGGTGACATATCATGAAAATCTGACTTTTCCAGGTTTTAAGTGCTATAATCAGGTCCCCGGTGCATCTACCAACCAAGGAAATGTGAAAAAGATTAACCCAGTAACTTTGTTTTGGTAAGCCTTTTTCTGCAAGCGTCTGAAAAAACAAGAGCGTCTGATTTCGCTCCCCTAGTGATCGACATACAGCGAAAAAGTCGCTGGCAGTGTGAACGGGGCTTGAGTCATTATAATCACGGCACGGCATCCCAGTATGGTAGGGGCGTAACATTTCCATCACATGCTTGAGGAATTCGGCCAATCACAACGCACTGGATAACTGGCCAATCATAGCACACCTCGCCTTTCAGACCGATGATCTTTGTAAAAATCGACAGTTTCAGAAAGGCGGGCATGGAGGAGCAACAATAATGTACACAGTATGTGGAAAATAATGTGTTTTTTTAACCTTAAACCGCATAAACATATTCCAATACACAAAATAATGTTCTTTTTTAGCAAGGTCATATGACCCCTTTAACACCATATATGATATTTTCTCACACACACAGGTCCCCCTGCTAAAATTCGCATTCCAGGGGATAAATATCATGTTAGTTATTGGAGTCAGTGTTAAACAGTGTTAAAATAGCCCAATTCCGCGGGAAAACCGCGGACTTGTCAACACTGATCAACACATCTCCGCATGAGAAGCGTTTATTAGACGGGGGAAGGGCGGGGTCTCAGAATTAAAGATGAAAGATGCAACATAACGCCAGCAGGGGTCACTCACACTTCATTAAATAAATATCAAACAGTTAATTCTGCCGAAATACATAATAAATGAAACCGTTTTGATGCTATATTATTGATTGCTTATGTTGCTAAGGGTGTTGCTCAGTGATACACAGAACCTTTGGTTGAAGCGGTCATCAGTGCTGTATTGTGAATAAAACACAGCTGCTGACCAATCGGAATTGAGGAATGGAACTAACCGTTTTATAATGTTTAATATTTCCTGCATAATTACGTACATAAAGAAGAAATATATTTTGTGTTGGATCAGTTAACGTTACCTGCAGCTGACACACCCACCTTAACGATTTAAATATATTGCTTATCCTGCCCAAAAAGACCATAAACATTGCAGATAACATCTTAAGTAAAAATTTATTTACATACACATAACATAAAAACGAATCCTGTGTGACTGATACCTTCAAATCGGGTGATTTTAGGTCAGTGTTTTGACTGGCGCTCTCTGCCGGTAGGGAATAGTAAGATGGCGGCTGTCGGCAGTTTAGAACGCAATGAGCGATCCAGTCATTATATATAGATCAGTGGTCACGCCCCATTTTTGAACATAGACGTGAAAGTGCACTATCCAAATTTAAATTATTATAATTAAAGCAATACAGATCTATGGTTGGACTCTTTTTAAAGAAGAAAATCAGCAGATTATTGTAGAAGTGGAATCATTTCAAAATCTGAAAGTATCAAAAAGTTATAGAAGTTTAAATTTACTGCAAAGAAAATGCACTGTACAATTTTTATTTTATTTCATATAAAATATATATTTTGTAATATTTTAGGTTTAGGTTTAGGTTTAACTCTAAAATTGCTATAAAATTAAAGCCTTATGTCTAAATAAGTTATGTTCCAAATTTGAAGTTGATATAAAAAAAATTGAGGTTCCTGTGAGATTTTATTTAGGACGTTATACCACAAACAGCCACCGGGTGACACCCAAACTCCACTGAATTTTTTTGATGCATTTTTCTGTCATAAATGTCTAAATTTCTATGTCCATATTACTTCTATCACAAAATAATCTTGAGACTCAGACCTTTCCAACGATATGTATTTTGTCAAGATTATAAAAAGGTTTGATTGTAAAATACCTTATACATTTTGTAATATGACACATGACACCGCCCACAGGGGAGGAGACGGGCAAAAGATTTTAAAGTACCATTTCAATGCCAACGCAATGTCTGATTTCAAAATGGTTTTCATAGGATAAATTTTGAGTTTTTAAGCTTTCAAATGATATCTAATTTAGGGTGATTACTAAAATATTTGATAGAGTAAAAAGGCAATAAATTATGTAATGGCTGTGGGCCCACCGGTGGGCCGGTGACACTTAAGGGGTTTTAAACAGTCAACAAACACACAGAGGTTTTAACCAATATTAAGAAAAAAAATTTTTTTCTAAATACTTAAATGTTTGTTGCTATTTTTTAATACTCAAAGACTATTAATATATCACTGTTGAGGATATGTAGCCTATTTAAATACACATTGTCATCAACCACTCACAAACTTAAAGACACAAGAAGTAGTTTGAGACTGTTTGCAGAATCCTTTTGGCAGACTCATTAAAACTAACCAAGTTATTTATTTTTTTATTTTTTGCACAACCCTCAAATATCCAGAATGTGACTAAATAAAAAATGGCCAACAATCATTTACAGTTGAAGCAACTTGTGTGCATCCACATAATAACACAGTGAGTAAATTGTGCTCGTGTAAACTATGCATTTATTGTATGTGTGTCAATTAGATGCTGGTAAATTTACCTTGTGTGACGCTCCATCTGACCAGCAGCACAATGTGTCCAATCTACAGTCAGATCCAGAGAAGTGTAAGTACTTATTCATTATAGAACTAGTTGGGAAAATAAAATAGCATTTGTAATGATAAGTATATATACAGTGAGTGCCCTCCACTAATATTGGCATCCTTGGTAACTATGAGCAAAGGCAGCTTATTTGAGCCTTGTTAGACACGACTGGAACTTCAACAGATCTGGCTATGGTCAGATGAATCTAAAAAAATGAGCTTTTTGGCAGCAAACCCACCAGATGGGTTTAGTACAAACTTTTTTTTTTTTTAGTTTTTCTGCCAGAGGTCCTCTTGTTCAGATGCATGGCATCATGGATTCTTTCAAATACCAACAGATTACAAATCTAAACCTGATTGCCTCTGTTAGAAATCTTGGTTGGATCTTCCATCAGGACAATGATCCAAAACAAACATCAAAATCAACACAAAAATGTGTCACAGCACAAAATGAAGCTTCTTCCATGGCCATCTCTGACCTGAACCCTATAGAAAATGAGTGGGGTGAACTGAAGAGAAGAAGCCCCAACATAGAGCTGGAAATCTGAAGGGTCTGGAGAGATTCTGGATGAAGGAATGGTTTCTGATCTCTTGTCAGGTGTTCTCCAAACTCATTAGGCATTTTAAGAGAAAACTCAGAGCTTTTATCTTGGTAAAAGGATGTTGCAATAATTGGGTGCAAATAATCGTGGCCAACGTGAACTAGAGAAAAACATTTATTTCACAATGAGATTTTCCCCTCACTTTCAATTGTTTTACTTCAATGAAAGTTTAGAATTTTGTGAATTTTCAAATCAAAGGGATAAATAATGCAGATTTATTTTCACAGCCATATTTGCTCATATTTACCGAAGGTGCCAATATTAGTGGAGAGCACTGTATATATAAAAATTAAATTGTGAAATATTAGCAGCTGAGAGATAAAGTAGCACTTTATGAGTAACAAGCCAAAAGTATGAGATATAAAGTTATTTCCCTTCATATTGGCTTGTGGTTACACTAAACCAACCGTTGATTTTAACTTTAATTTGCTTGTTTTTATTGGTTCATTCAAGCAGTGTGTTCTGTATCAGCTGATGATGAAAAGCTCTTGCACAAGTACAACGCTGCCAAAAACTGCCTCTCTTTATGCACTGGTGAGTGGATAAATCCTTTCAAGACAATTAACTTACTGCTTTCTTTGGTCCTATTCTGTGTTTTATTTTATTTTTCTGCTCTGTTACTTGTAGTCAATAATCATAGTTTTTCAGTTAATATCGCTAGAGAGATTATCAATTATGGTTTTAAACATAATTTCCAGGATTTGTATCTACGTCTTGTCAGCCCTGTGAGGATGGCTGGACAGCACATCGTGGAAAGTGTTATTTCTTCTCCTCTAAAAAGCAGACATGGTTTGAGAGCCGTGATTTATGTGTAGCATCAAAAGCTCGTCTCGTCTCCATAAACAACAAAGAAATACAGGTGAGGTAGAAAAAAAGTACTTTACATACAGTGAAAGATTAAAAAAAACACTTTTTTCCCTAAAGAACAGCAATAAAGTAAATGTTCTCCATCAGGATTTCCTGGTCTCTAAAATTAAAGAGACACACTGGATTGGTCTCAATGATCTTGAAACGGAGGGACACTGGGTTTGGATGAATAGCCAAACTCTCAGTGAAACTGGAGTACAGTAAGAATATATATGTGAATGAGAGCTGGGCTTTGGTTTTCTGAATCTATTGTGTATTGCAGTATGTTGCATTGCAGATATTTGTTGTATTTTCTTGCCTGTTTACCTATGAATACAAAAGACTGAAGTCTGTTGTCTTTTCTTGAAATGTTAGGTTTAATGCATTTTGCATTTTAACTTCACTTAAACTCCCTGTTTCTGCTTCTACAGGTTTTGGCACATGAGGGTATCTTGGCCGAGTGAACCGGATAACTGGAAAGAAGACGATCCTTCTGGAGAAAACTGTGCTAGTCTGGGATATTGGGAGGGTTTTTTGAATGAATGGTTTGATAATTCTTGCAAAATGCAGAAAACGTTCATCTGTGAAAAGAACAATACATTCCCCCTAATTGATGATATCTAAAAGAGGAAACACCGTAAATACACTTAGATTGACGTTCATCATATTAATGCTTTTTCAATAGTGAGCTTTCATTCAGGATCTTTAACAGATCAGTGCTTAAACAATAAAAGAAAGCCTTACATCTTTAATTTTCCATTTTTAATCTGCAGTTTTTAACTGGTTTTAGTGTAGCAGCACTGAAGGGGATAATTGGCATATAGGTTTACAACTAACTGTTGCAACTAATAGGCCTAGTGGTCAGTTAAACCTTTAACAAAAATATTATTTGAGGACTATGACAAACTCATTTTGTACTCGTTCTGTCAAATTCATAGCACTCACCTGACGCAGATACTATTAACACCACATCAGAAATATGATGTAGGCTTATTTGCATTCATGTCAAAGTAATTAATATCAGATGCAATTCAGCAACACAACAGAATATGTAAATGCACGGATGTATTATTACAAGTACACCAATTAAACAGCATTGCTAAAAATGCTTCTGTATGTTCATCTTTTTTCACATAAAAATGTTTTGTTTATTCTATAATTAGCTATTATCTAAAATATTAGATATATATGACCCAGGGCCGGCTAGCTATAGGCAGAGCAGGCGATTGCCTAGGGCCTCGGGCTTTGAGGAGGGGCCTCCATAACCTTAACATCCCCTATATGCTAGTCCACCAGTCAAGACGGGCAGCAAATTCTAGCCTCATTGTTCATTGGATATAGTTGAATTGTCACTCATCTGCAATTAAACCAATTAATGTTGCCGTTTCAAAGCGGGTCCCGCCTTCTGAATGTCTGCGTAACGAACGCATCCATCAGATGCCGCAAACTGTGCGATGCAAACGGCTAAATAGGCACGCAAAGAAGTACAGCTCCTAATGCAGGTGTGTGAGTTGTCGTCATCTATTTTAGAGTGATTGCAATGTATTCTAAATATAAACTTGTTCTGTCCATCAGCATCATTTCTGGACAGATCATTTACCGGTTTATTACGAGATTAAAAAAGCGCGAGCGCAGTTGACGCGCCCAGACGCGATGCTTTGAATGTGCGCATACAGTGAATGACATCGCATCGGGAGCTGACTGTCAAAATAGCTACAGAAGTAAAAGCAGATAAGTTTGTATTCAAAGTTAAAAAGCAAACACACTAGAACATTTTTTTGAGGTTTCAAATAAAGTACCTCAAATGAGTATCTTCTAAACTCTGCTGATGATACTATACATTACTGCTCTAACATAACACTTATAATTTCAGTTTCAGCTAACTAGAAAATAACTTTTTTTCTGCTTAGTAGTCTTTCTCTTCCACTTGATTTGTGTGTGTGTGTATATATATATACATATATATATATACTGTATATATATGTCTCATATTTATTTAACAATGCAATACATAATATCATATTATT